GGGTAAAGAGCCTTTTAGGAAACCGCAAATGAAGCAGGATGCAGCTAAATGCTCTGAAAGAAAGAAGCAGGAATTCAAGTCACTAACAGACACTGCTGTAAGATCAGAGATTTGTTTGTTAGTAAGACGTAGAAACTACAGTCTTTTTCTAAAATGAGTAAATACTTTGAAGTAGGAATGTGGTGGGAGAGTTTCCCTTCAGAAAAGAGAAAATAATAGATAATTTGCAAAATTTTGTTTCTTTTGCTTTGTATCCATTCTTTTTCCATGTTATGCCTCTTTTGCTTAATGAATATATTGAGCTTAACAATATAACAAAAGTATCTTTATATAGATTACCTCAACAAATATTCACAACCTTGGCAAGTGTTTATTATTACAATTGTATACAATAAATTTGGAAAAGAGGGAAAGACTTATCCTAGATTGCACTGAGAAAGTGACAGAAATAAAACTCAAGGTCAGTTCTTAATCTGAGCTATTTGTTCTTCACACCTAAACCAGCTTTATTTTTTAAACTTGTAGAATGTAATGATGAAAGTCCCCCTTCTGTGACTTTCTTTGAAAGGTAATACTATTTTCTTAGGCTGCTTCTAAAGTTTGTGTGCCTGGACATATTTACCCATTGTCACACCTGGTTAATGTGCAATGTTACAGAGAAGAGGACAAAGCAGGAGGTGAGAAGCACAGTCGATTCAGTCCCTGCAGCCCAGAGCTGGCACTGCAGGGAATAGGAGGAGCCTGGCTCCCTGGGGGCTCCATGGGTAAGACAGCGCCAGGCCTGACAGTGAAGAATAAACTTGCATTTCATGTGAGGCACTGTAACTTAGGGCCTCTGTAACACTAGTTAAATGAGTGAGACGAAGCCCCTGTCCTGAAGAAATTCAGGGTTACACTAAACTCGCACTTTAAACCTTGCCCTGTACATTCATACGCCGTCTCCGGTGGCAGTACATTTCAAAGGACAGGTGTAAAATAAAAAGATAACTCTGGGTATTACTGCAGGCTTCCCTAAGGCACTGGTATCTGCAGAATCTGTTCAAGCTCATCACCAATACCTCAAATGTGTGGAATGGGCCTATTCGCCCATCTGCTTCATACACGAGCAAGTCAAATCCAGGAACATACGAAAGGGATACAGCATTATGACTATCTTGAGGAGTTAAGCTTTTTCAGCCTCTGAAAATCAAAGTAACTCACCATTTCAACAGAAAATAGGCACAAATTGTGTATTACAGCAGACGAAGAAAAAACATTCAATAAATTCAATATGCATTCATTTTGAAAAATTTCAGCAAAGGAAACTTTCTTAACCTGATAAAAGGTATCTATAGTTAAGATCATAGTCACTGGTGAAAGACATTCCACTTCCCAAGACCAAGAAAAAGCAAGGAGGTCCATTTCCATTCTCACCGCTTCTGCTCAGTATTGCAGTAGTGGTCTTGGCCAGAATAACAGATCAATAAAAAGCACAGAAGTTGGAAGGAAAGAGTTAACAGTCTCTTTGCAGATTACATGATGGGATACTTAAAAATCTTAAGGAAACTACCCCAACTCATGACACAGTCAAGTAAATTTAATGAAGTCACAAGATATATGGTGAATACAAAAACTGCATTTCTATATTGCAATGAAAACAGAATAAAGTACAATTTACAATTTTATCAACAATATGGAAGACTCTGGCAATACACAACAAAGTATGTGCAAGGCTTACAAAACACTACTGTGAAAAGTGAAAGAAGAGCTCAACAGTGGAGCAGTATATCACATTCAAAGACAGAAAGATTCAACACTGTTCAGATGTCAGTTCCTCCAAACTGATCAATGAAGCCAACTGCAAGCTGGATAAAAACCCTAAAAGACATTTTTTGTCTTTGTTAAGCTGATTCTATATATGTAGAATATTTTTTAAAATCCTGAAAAAAAACAATTTGAAGACATGTGGGACTTGATTTCAAGGATTATTTAAAGCTACAATAATCACAGTAGTGTGGTATTGGCATAGACACTCACAGATCAATGAAATTGAGCACAGGAAGTAAAATCAGATCTAAACAGGGCCGGGGATTTAGCTCAGTGGTGCCACACCTGCCTGACAAGCTCAAGGTCTTGAGTTTGATCCCAGGTATTAAAAAAAAAAAAAAAAACTAATCTAAATATACAGTCATTTGATTTAATCTGATATAAAGGTCTCAAGATAATTCAATGGGAAAAAGAAAAATTTTCAACAATTCTGGCTAGGGTAACTACTTAACGATATGTGACAAAATGAAACAAGACTCCCACATTTCATGCCACAAAGAACAGGGGGAATGGATATGATCAAAGTATGTTATATACCTACATTAAAAAGTCAGGGAGGGGCCGGGGATTTAGCTCAGCGGTTCGGTAGCCTACCTTGCAAGTGCAAGGACCCGAGTTCAATCCCCGGTACCACAAAAAAAAAAAAAAAGTCAGGGAATCTCAGTCAATGAAACTATAATTGTGTTCACTAATACAAAATTAACATGAAATGGATCACAGACCTAAATGTAGAAGCCAAATCTATAAAGCTTCTAGAAAAAGACATAAAAAAAAAAAAAAAAACCTTCTATACCTTAGAACAGGCAGAGATATTTTTTTGGTACTGGGGATTGAACTCAGGACCTTCCACTTGTGAGGCAGGCAGTGGCACCACTAAGCTTAATCCTTAGCCCCAGGCAGAGATTTTTTTTTTTTTAATGTTCAAAAGCACTATCTTACAAATTAAAAACCTTCTGCACGGCAAAGGAAGCAACCAACAGAGTGAAGTGACAACCTACCAAATGGGGGAAAAAAACCTTGCCAGCTATTCCTTAAATACAGGACTAATATCTAGAATATATGAAGAACTCAAAAAAAATTACAGCCCCTTGAATGAAAGAACCAGTGGAAAAAAATGGGCAAATTAAACTAAACATTTCTTAAAAGAAGTATAAGTGGACAATAAATATATGAAAAAATGTTCAACATCACTAGTCATAAGGGAAATGCAAATTAAAACAACACCAATATTCCATCTTACTCTAGAAAAAATAACTATCATCAAGAAATAAAAAATAACTAATGCTGGGCCAGGGATTTAGCTCAGTGGCACTGCACCTGCCCTGCAAGCTCAAGGTCCTGAGCTTGATCTCCGGTACCAAAAAATAAAAATAAAAAATAATAATAACTAATGCTGCGGCAGAAAGGAACCCTCTACACTGTTGATGAAAATGTAAACTAATACAACTACTACTGAAATCAGTATGAAGATTTCTCAAAAAACTTAAACCTAGAAATTCCATCTGATGCATACTCCCCCTCTAGCTATCTTCCAAGCAAGTTAAATATATCATATTACAGTGATTCACCACCCCCATGTTTATAGCAGCACAATTTATGTAGCTAAATCCTGGAAACAGCCGATATATCATCAGCAGATGAATGGATAAAGAAAACATGGTATTTACATACGATGGAGTTCTACTCTACCACAAAGGATAAACTTGAGCCATTTGTAGAAAAAGGATGCACACCTTTAGACCATCATTTTATGTGAAATAAGCCAGACACATAAGCTTAACTATTGCATAATTTCTCTTACATGAGAAACACGAAAGGTAACTAAAGAGCAAAATAAAAGATAATAGGAAGAAGGGAAATAGACCTTTTTTAAACAGAAGAAGATGGAGAGAGAGAAAGAGAGAGAGAAAGATGAAAAAAGAATGAAGATGTGTTACATACATGTACCATCTCCCCACAGGAATGTAATCATTATGCACTGCATCATGTACTAATAAAAATAATAAATGAAAAAAGCATTAACCACAAAAGAAAAACTGGCTCAATAAATCTCTATTAAGTTCTCATCAAAAGAATGCCAGTCTACATAGAAATAAGAGGGAAAAAAAACACTTTAAAAATTCATTTAGAACCACAAAAAAATCCTGAACAGCTAAACTAATCTTGGCAAAACAAACCAAACAGGAGGCCTCACAAAACCTGACTTCAAAATATAGTGTACAGCTACAGTAACCAAAACAGATGGTACTGGCATAAACAGACAGACACACAGACCAATGAAACAGAAAAAAACCCAGAAATCTATAGCCAGTGAGTTTTAACAAAGGCACTGAGAGCATACTTTAAAGAAAGTCTCTTTAATAAATCATGCTGGGAAAGCTGGATATCCATTTGCAGAGGAAAAAAACTAGATCTCTAGCTATAAAGCATCCAAAAATCAATTCAAAATTAAAGACATCCTTACAACATGAAATTACTAGAAGAAAGCACGGAAGAAATGCTTTAGGGCAGTGGTCTGGCAA